AACAAAGATAAATTCAAATTAAATTCTGATGTCTATAACATGAATACTAGACAAAAATACAACTTCCACCTACCCTCATCAACTTTATCAGTATATCAAAAAGGAGTCTACTTTACTGGCATAAAAGTGTTCAACAATCTGCCACAAAGTATTAAAAACTTGGGCAATGATACTAAAAAGTTTAAATCAGAGTTAAAGAATTATCTACATGCTCATTCCTTCTACTCTTTAGATGAATACTTCAATGTAAATAGAGAATGATGTAAAATTAAGTTATATTAATTTTTAAGCTAAAATTGCCTGTACTTATGTATGTAACATTTTGACTTGTTCTGTATCCAAAGGTACTAACCTGCTTAGGATTTATAGAATGTAAATAAATTCAATTCAGTTCAATTCAATAGGACGCTGGCTGGCTGCAGAGCCAGTCTGGACAATGTAGAGAACAGAAAATTCTTCACCCTATGGAGACTTGAGCTCAGACTCCTCCATCGTCCAGCCTGTAGCCAGTCGCTATACAGACTATGCTATCCCAGCTCCACCAGAAGCATTATATTTGTTATAATGATTAGTGTTTCCCTTTTCATAATTAAATTTTTTAAATTGTAGACATGTTTTCATGTTTCCATGTTGGACTAGGTTTCTTCACTGCATGTTAAGGAAGTTATGCAGTTACTTAGTATTGTAAGCCAAAGAGAAACAGAGGCTTTTACTGTACATTTTAATTGCAGCATGTTGGGAAAGTGACAATCAGAGAACTCAAGAAACGTGGAATAACTGGTGAGGAACTAAGGCGCATGATGTGGGAACGAGCAGATATTTCCACTCCCATACGAATGCCCCCAAGGTGGGTTCTGATATGCGTACACTGGATAAAACATATGCTATCTTATTGAATAAGAATATTATTGAAAAGATGTTACAATGACTTATTAGTTTATTAAATTTCTTCTTTCAGCTGCAGTTCTGAACAGATAGGATATTTACGAGTATTGTTACAGAGTCTTATATTATTTACACAGTACTGTGAGAAGAAATTGTTCTTACCAGTAGTTTATTAACTAGTATGTGGCACATTAATTAGGTTTAAGATCATTTGGCCTGCTTTTTAGCCAGCATGTCTTCCAGCACTGATGTAACAACTACTATGTATATGAGCTATTTTCAGAAGTAAGATTTAATACTAAATGATTTTGAATATTTTCCGAAATATCTGGAGCAGAAGGTTGTTATTTTGTTAATTTATCTGCCATATTATCATAATTTTTTAGCAGTGAGTTGTTGAAGCCTTATTACAGTTTCTTTTAGCAATGAGATGATATAATGCTAAGTGATTTGAAAATTTGTAACAGCTATATTGAACAGTGGGGTGTTACTTGGTCTTCAGTTTATGGTACTATTGACATGACAGTTTCTCATCTACTGAGCTGGGTTCATCAGGGAAATTTCTGACAGGCTCATGGTGGCACAGCAGCATCATATAATAAGTTCTGGGAAGAACTAATCACCTGATTTCCTCTGATATCATATGAACCACATAGGAAATGTCACATCCAGTAATTCTTCAATTGTTGCATGTGCATTCATTGCTGCAGATTTTCTGAGCCATTGCCTAGCATCGATTGTGGATGCATATATGGACATATAGACTGATGGGAGGAATATATGAGTTATGCCACTGAGATGGGCTCAGGGCCATGATATACACACAAAGTTTCATAAAGACTGGTTCAGGCATTTAAAAGTTGATAAGGGGGAGTACAGAGACAGAGAGCACAGTGAACTCATAAACCTACTTTTGTTTTTTAAAATAAGGATAGGAAGCTAATAAAATCTCTGTATAATGCTATGTAGCATTAGAATCTTGTCACACATATTTTGATGAATGTTATGGTGATGATGCTAAATGATTTGGAATCACATCACAGATATCTGGAACAGCTGGATGATATAATATTAGAAAACAGAAGGCAAATTTAATGGTGATAATTATTAATAATAAAAAGATATCTTCTTTGAGGAACTGGAGTTTGTGTTTGATCAGTTCCCTAAGTAACGCCTGACAATTTTCAAACTAACAGTTAGGGATGAGAGGTAAAAGTAAAGTTGTCCTTGTGCTTAATTCATTAAACACTACACAATTAAGGCTTATGAGGAGTGAATGTATAGATCCACGTTTTCTTGACCTCAGCACTAGCTGGAGGTGAGTGGTCAGTTTCACGCCCTGGCTGTTTTACTCCCGGGGAAAGAGCCCCTGTACCCATTGGATAGGAGACTGGGTGGGCCCCAGAGCCAGTCTGGAAAACGTGGAGAAGAGAAAATTCTTGACCCCACTGGGACTCGAACTCCAACCCATCGTCCAGCCCGTAGGTAGTCGCTGTACGGACTGCACTATCCTGGCTCCTTGAATATATGAAATTAATAATGAGAATGGAATTTGAGCAGTACACTTCATGAAGCTGAAAGCTCTGTATGAGCTGCAGATAAGAGCTAACTGTCAAACATATAAAATTCTCATGTCGCAACATTTATAAATATAGTTAGACATCTCCTGATGGGATGGCATGTAGTAATATTTCATATATTTTGATACATGGAAAATGGTATCTGTGTTTTATACTGCTCTAGATGTGTGTATAGTACACTTCAGATTGCATATATATGCACACCCACACACGAATGCATGCACATACTCAGGGGGACCTCATCCCCCCCAAAATAACATATAAACTTCACTGTGCAGAATATTTGCTTAAATAATTTATTGGTATATCTTCAGTTAAACTTTGGAAACGTCCATAAATAGTCTCTCTTAAGTGTGTTATTTAGGTTATCTACAGACATTTTCAAAGTTAAACAAAAGATGCACCAACAAATAATTTAAGCAGATATTTTATATGTTGGTGTTTGTGTGTGTATATATACTTTGGGGGGGGGGAGTCTCTGTATGTATATCGAATCTACATCTGCATTCAAACTTTAAAAATCGTCATAATGGACAAGATGTTCTTAGCATATGAGTAAAAAAAAATTTGGATTAGTGTATTGTATTTGAAGTTGACTGTACTTCACTCAAAGTTTCCATGGAGTAAATATCTATTTTACACTGAGCTGATAGTTATAATTAAGAAGAAACAAAATTCTGAACATTGCTTCTCTCAACTAACACCAGTCATGGCCCTAATGAAAATAAGCGATTTAAGCTGTATCACTGTAAATGTAAAACATTCCTTGCTTGTGTTCTGACCATCTCCTGTTATAGATAGGAATGGGGAGGTTTTTCCATTCCACAAAAAAAAGTTTTTACTATGGGGTTCTGACGATGTTGCGTAACACTCAGAATTACTGGGTTATCTAACTTCATCCATCATACAGTATTCTAAAAACTACACAACGTTTCGGAAACTGGCTCTGTTTCCATCCTCAGGTGAGGGGGAGACTGCTACTCTGTTTGGTTCCTTAGAAAGAGCAAACCTCAGTCACTGTCCGGTGATTCTGGAATTCTTGTATCATTTCAGTGAGAACATATTTCATCTGAAGCAGGCCATTATCAGGCAATACATGAGAAATATACCAATAATATACAAATATATGTGAATACTGTGTGAACCGCACATACAGAAATTTCCTGGCTCATAGTGACTGGTCATGTGTTAGTGACTAGACATGGGGTTTGAATTGGTAATTGGATTTATTGAACACGTATAATTCATAATTACAGGTAACTGTAACAGTTTCACAGTTCTACCTACTCTACAAATCAATGTGGTGCAGCACACATAAAGTTTTCTATATCTTCACAATTCATTGACTAGTAAATGCTCTCAACAATGTAGATCCCTCTGCTTCCATACTCATGTCCTTACTGGCTGTCTACTGTCTCACAGCTCCTCACAGCCACAGCTAATTATCTTAAAATCAAAGTCAAATTTATGTTATGACTGATGGTCAGTTGGCTAGTCTGTCTTGATGTCAAGCATCCTCTTGGGCCCAAGACCAGATTTTTGTTACTGTCAGACAGTTAATGGGTTTTTTGATGTGGAGTGTCCTTTCAGACAAGAAGATGGGTCTGTCATTTACAATTACTACTGGTCCTCGCCAGTGCAGTCATTCTGTGGACCGAGTACCGCTAGACTCATGACCATATTTTTCTGTCTGAGATTCGCAACTCCCTCAACCTGGAGGGCCAGGTCTCCATATTTATCCCTTAGGAACAGGGTAGCCCAATTATATCCTCAGGCACTGCATTCCCCTTTCGTCACCACCTACGACTTGAAAAGCTATGGTGGAGGTATTTGAAGCCCCCTCCACATGGGTAACTAACTTGCCATGCTGGTCCTCACTATATAGCCTCAGGTTGGACTGCATAAGAAACACTGTTCTCAACAATCTCTTCTGTTGTTGCACATGTATCTGGTGCTGTGGATATGTACTTATTGAACTATTACCTAGCAGCAGACGATTTATTCTGGTTCCATTATTCCAGGTTCAGATGTTATGCCACAATATTGCTACCTATTTTTCATTTCTTTACAGTCAATTAATATGCACCATGAATAATGTACAGATGTGAAATGTTATGTGTTATTGCAGCCCAGATCCTCTCGATCCAGATGTAAATGCTGGCTTTGGGGATGCTCTGACTGCAGCCCTCGATGTTATGGCATTCACTAATGATCTTGACTTGAGTTCAACTAATCAGCCTTTAACAAACTCAGGAATAACTCAAGTGCCAGCGCCAGTGCTAATGCCAGCACCAGCACCAGTCCCAACACCAACACCAGCACCATCCTTTCCTCCAGCTGTGACATCAGCAAATCTGAGTGTGCCAAATGAGGGAACAGGTACGCTTCAGCGGAAAACCGATCTTTATCAGCCATGTAGTGAACGTTTGTAATGGTGCACAGGATATTAAATACCATTATTTGTTGCTGTCTGTCAGAGTGATGGCACTAGAGTTGTGTCCACTGCTCTGTGCAGACTTCCATCTTGATTTCCTGTTGTGAGTTATTTTATAAACTTTGACCCTCGGAGGTGCATTGTAATTTTGAAATAATCAGATTTCAGTCACAGCGTTTCATGTAATCGTTCTATTAACACACCATTCACAATTGTTCAAGGTCTTGCCAGCTCTGAGAGAGTGACATCTGAAAGAGTCAGAAGGAAGGCTAAAATAAATAAAATTTTACTCATATGTTTGTAGTTACGGTGAGGGTCAGGAAGAGTAATGATGATAGTAGATGGAATATTACCTTCAGAAATTTCAAGAACTGTCATTGACCCATTTAATTTGGCTGAAAATTTGTGCAGCGTATGCACGCACGCACGCGCACACACACACACACACCACACACTAGTATATAAGTTTACAGATATATTTGCTGTATGTGGGAAGGGGATAGGAATGGGATGGTGTATCACCAAACACAGACCCTGGCCTGCATATATACTATTGAGTAAGAGTGATAAATATTCATAAAAGATAATTGTTTTGAAACAGAGTTTCTGTTTATTTCAGGAGGTTGCAACATGGGAACTGAGCTACCTACACAGACAGCTCCATCTTCTGTCCCATCACTTTATCCCAAGCTGGAAGCTGACCATTCAGACAAAGATCATCTTCGTCAACTAGTGCTAGCATCAGAATTGCCACATATACCAGAATCAGAGCTGGTGAGAATAGCAACAGCAGCAACTGACATGGATGGAGTAGAAGAGGTATCACTGAGAGAGCAACATCAGTACTGCTGCCTGTCACTGTCACAGGAGGCACTTGATGAGAGAAGACAAAAAATCACGTCAATTGAGCCCAGTGATAGTGATGGTCTTGGTGGTAGGTTTGCTTGTAATAGTACTAATGAGGACCGTTTTTCTATAAACAGAGGCTGAACGCAGTAGCTCTCATCATTATGAGTTGAGTTCTTTTGACATTTTAAAAGACAGTGGTTATTATATGTACCACATGCTTTAACATTATTATTTTTTTTTTAATTTTGCACACTGAGCTTATTTATGTCTTTGTACGATTCTGACACTAAATAATAGCTCCTTCTCTAAATAGCATTAACTGGATGACCCTTGTGACACAAATGCTTTGTGTTTCCTGTGATCTAGGAACGGAATTCTTGATATATTTGGATGAATTTTATGCTTTGAAGGGTTAAACACTGTCTATTGTGAGTATCTTAACTTTCTATCATTTATTATTGAACCTAGCAGATGTATGTAACTGTACTGCTTTAGATTTGTATCCAGGAGGTAATGAGTTTGCATTGAATTGAATTGAATTTATTTGCATTCCATAGATCCTAAGTAGGTTAATACCTCTGGATATAGAAGTCAAAATAATACCTACTGGTACAAGTAATTTTATCTTGAACTAATACAGCTTAATGCTACATTATTCTCTATTTACATTGAGGTATTCGTCTACAGAGTAGAAGGAATGAGCATGCAGATATTTCTTTAGCTCTGATTTAAAATGTTTAGTATCATTACTCAAGTATTTTATACTTTGTGGGAGACTATTGTACACTTTTATGCCAGAAAAGTAGACTGTGTTACTAGCTCTCCTTAGGTTCTTCATCATTTCCTAACTTCAAATAGATGACAATGGACTCTTTCAAAATCCTTATTTGCTCACCATTCATAATCATTTTCTACTGCACTCATATTATAGCCTATAAACAGAATCATGAATAACCTGAGAATCAATGGTCTATGCATACACACACAAACACACACAAAAATACACACATCCACTTTGACACTTGAATTTGTAAGTTATTTAGAGTTGTTCACAGAAAATCTTATTTAACTGAACTTCAAACAGTTTTCATTCATACTGTTGCTCTTTATTTTAGGAAGAAGAATTTTGTAAATGTAGAACTTGCATTGATCTTGTTTTTTACAGAAGGACCACTGCTAGGTCATGGCTCACGCATCAGGAGGGCACGTTCAGCCAGGCTACGCAGTGCTAACTCAGGCAATACCAGTGCTAGTCAAGACCAGAAGCACTTGTTTCATCACTTTGATGATGTTAGTTCATGTACCTCATCTGACAGTGGCCTTGTTAACCCAACCTTTGCACATGATCTGTCAAGAAACATGAGAGCTGCAGAATCCTTTGGAAATATGCAGTGCACTGAAAGTGGTGATAAAATTGTATGTTGACATATTTATTTATACTTTGCATTAAGTATTCACTTACAATTTGAAACTATTTATCAAAAAGCACATAATTTCAGTTAAACTACAAAGATGAATTATTGCAAGATGAAACAAATTTTGGATTTCTGGGACACATGCTTTGCAACAAGGAATATGAAATATTGTAGTAATATTGTAACACTCAGGAAGATATACCATGCATATTTCCACTCAATTATGAAATATGGGATAATTTTCTGGGGTAACTTGCCAGATGCCAAAACAAGTTATCCTTTTACAAAACGAGACTCTAAGGATAATGATGGGAATAAAACATAGAGGCACATGCAGGCCAACATTTAAAACATTAAATATACATAACTAACATTGGCCTCACAATGTATATTATCTTTGATGACGTTTACGATAAAAAATTTGGAACACTTTACCTTTAACTGTGCAATTCATAATAAATCAACAAGGCATAGAGGTAACCTTCATGTACTACAGTCACATCTATCATTAAGACAAGAATGGGTTTGTTATTTGAGTGTAAACATTTTTAACAGTTTGCCAAAATTTTTTGTTGACTCAGTTGGAGATGAAAACCAGTTCACAGGAAAGTTGAAAAAATCTTAATATATGGTCTATTTTAATAAATAGCTTAATTTTTTAATTATTGTCGAGATATATAGCTAAGAGACATGGGTAATAGGATTGTGTAATGCAATGCTTATACCAAATGAGTGGAATTCTCATACCATGAACCTATAACAATCATGTGTTACTCCATAGGATACATATACGTAACTAGTGAGACATAAATTGTTATGCAATTTTTTAATGTCATCATATCTTTATTATAATATTTACTAATCACAGATCACTCCCACTATTGTACTCCTCATGCTTTTGTGTGCATAAGAATTGCATGTATATCACTCAGTATGAATGATGTATATTTTAACTATATTTTATGTTGTATTTGTGTTTTTTTTAATTGTCATATGGTAACTTGTGTGCGTTTGGCAAGTTTTGTATTCAGTGCTGATAAGCACATTTATGAATACTATGAAACATAATTTTTATATGTATGTATGTATATATATCTGTGTGTGTGTGTGTGTGTGTGTGCATGCGTGCGCGTGCATGTGAATATGCTTAAAATTTAACTGGGGAAATTTCCTTAATTTTCTCCAAGCATCATCCTCTAAGTTCAATTACTCTGAACCTTTTTCCTGGAGTTACTGGAAAAAGGGACTAGTAGCAAGGATGTTAAATAATTTTTATCCTAAAATATTACATTAAATTACTAATATACAAGTTACTGGAAAAAGTAATTCATAAATATCATTAAGGAACATATATTTTTTTAATTGCTAAATCAAATGTAATATATTTATAGAGGTCTCGGATGCCTGATACATTTTTATTAATCTCAATGGATCTTCAGCCTGAAAGAGTTTTGGAACTGCTTGTTTAAAATGCACATGATATTAGGTTTGCAGACTGCTAGGATTGTGGGTCTGAATTCCATCCAGAACATGAAATTGTCATTGTTTAAGCTATTATGCTAATGCTCTTCACTTTTGCAGATTCAGGATTATGTAGTAGTGTGTGTGAGGAAACATATAACATGAATTGTTTTTCAAAGCTCTGCAATGGAATACAAATAGTTGTACAGAAAACTGAACATGTAACAATCGTTTTGCAGAAGAAACAAAGAGATTCTGTCATGAAAACTAATACTTCTGATGTCCAGAGAGATAAGAAAATAGAAGTTTTGGCTCAGAAACATTCCAGTGTTCGTACAAGACAAAGGGCAAAGACAGCACGCACTAACAGGTAATGATTAAAGTTTCTTGTGAAACTTAGTGTCACCAAATAGAATTTATAAACTGCAATTCAAATCTGATTATATATACTAGTTTGTCTGTTCATGAAACTGTGGGAACATTCAGTATTACTATTCCTTATTGTAGACTTCATTAAGAGAATATCAAATACTTACTGTACTGAGTGATCTTACAATCTTCTCTTATACAAAACAAAAAATGTGAAAGGTAAAGGTATCCCCTTAACAAGCTGTGGAGGCCCATAGGGTTGTGAGATCTTGAGACTCCCACATTTTCTAAACAATCGGCTCGCAGATGGTGGTAAGGTTGTCAGCCTTACATGCTGGCTGCCCTTTACCCCCAGGAATATTGCTGGTACTCATTTGTTAGAGGCTAAGTCGACCCCAGGGCCATAGTGCGGCTGGAAGGATTAGGTCAATTGAAAAAATCCACCTCATTGGGATTCGTTCCTGTGAGCTTCCAGCTTGTAACCTAGTCCCTCAACCAACTCTGCTACCGCATCCCCCATACAAAACAAAATAGTGATAAAAATCATTTCAGTCATACATGAGAGAAAAATTTTCCATCTCTCTAGCAACTGTGGACCATCAATATGCAAGAGCTGGGAGTAGGCCATGGATTAACAATAGGATATCGAGGAAGATGGTTTATTGATCAGTTGGAGATGCATTAAGTGCCATCTTCAGTATTTAAATATTTATTGTTTCATATCTGATTTTCTATTTAAATATGTAATAATTCCATTCACCTTTATTAATTTCTGGCTTAATGAACAGGAGTGAAGGTTGCTTAGTATGTGTTTGTGATCACTTCAGCAGGATAAGAATCGTATATATAGTCAACAATACTGAATATGGTGTGATTCTTAAACAGATTTGCAGTATTAAGCTTTTATATGTCATTATGTTAAACCTTGAAGTTACCAAGTATCAGTTCTGTGGTGATACATGTAGCATCAAGTTTTTAAACCACTGTCATGGGTCCAGGTTTTTGACCAACAGGTTTACTTGGTTACAGTATTATTTGTTTCATCTATACATTCACTCCCTAAGTTTTGAGTATATTCACCTTAAAAGAATATCAGTTACTGATATTTTCACACTATTTGATATTACAGTGCGCTACTCTACACCACACTACTCTGCACTACACTTCACTACACTATACAAACTGACTGAAACACCCCCTATGAGGGAAAACAGGAACTTTCTTGACAAGTAAAGAATATATGTTGTCTTGTAACCAGAATTATGATGTAAGACTTCTTTATAAATCCTTTCAAATTCATTTTATTATAATGACCACTGTTGTTTTGTTGGATAACAGCTTTGCTAGATGAATGGACTACTAGCAGTGGTCACTGGCATGACAACCTCTCTCTTACAGTTTGACACATTTTGATGGTAATATTATTCTTTAACAAGATGGAGTTCAGAGATTGAACTGAAATAAAAGAAAACAATAGACATTGTTGTCAAGTCCAAAATTTTGGTCATACAAGATAGCAAACGGAAGGGATGTGAAAGATGTTCATAAAGTACATTTTATTTACACTAGACAGAACTGACATGAACTAGTGATAATTAGCTTTTCACTGTTCCTGAATGTTATGACCTAGGAGGAAACATTTTGTTTGAGAGATGTCTTATTTATTGAATTTCCTCCTGCTTTTCTGACTTGTTAATGATAATTTAAGTTGAAAAATACTTTGTGGAGTCGCAGTGCTTACTGAGTACGTCCGGAATATTTACATTTATTTTCACTTCATGGATCCAATCAACTCCCCATAGGGCTGGATGTAAAACATGTCACATATTACAAATTCATGATGACTACACATCATTTGTCCTTGGTCCAATAAAATATAAAATCAAGCCTCAGACAGAAGAGCTCAAGTGGTCAGGACCACACACACTAAGGTCGTGGAAGAACCACAATCAAATTCACACCTTGCCATTCCACACACACTGGCAAGCCATGTCATCCAAACAGTTACATTATAAAATATTAAAATTCATAACAAAAAACAGACATCATACATACGTACTACTACACTTACAACAATCAAGTTTCAACACTGTATAATTCATGCACACAGACCATTTATTAACTCTTAACTTTTGAGCCACTTACATCCTCAACAAATTCATCAATAGAGTAAAATGTGTTACTTTGCAAATAATTTCGTAAAAAAAACCTAAATTGTTTTTATCATTTTTTAAAACTGTAATATTTGATGGCAGAATATTAAATAGTTAGACACCTGAATAATACATCCCTCTCTGATAGGCTGATAAATGTGTTGAAGGTATATGAAGGTGGTCATTCCTTCTGGTACAAATGACATATACAGAGTTATTGGTTTGAAACTTATCCAAATTATTAATGACAAATATCATCAATGAGAGGAAATATACACATGGGATTGATAGTATGTTAAGCTTTTTAAATAAATCTCTACATGTATGAGTTGGGCCCACTCCCATCATCATTCTTATTATTTTCTTTTGTATAACAAAGATCTTATGACTGTCTGATGTATTTCCCCAATATATTATTCCATATTTCACCAATGAATGATAATATGCATAATATACAGCTTTAATATTATTTATATTTAATATATAGGATAATTTATGCATTAGAAAACCAACTGTACTCAACTTGTGAAGCAAAAAATCAATATGTCCCTTAAAAGTCAGATGATTGTCCAGCTGCAAACCGAGAAATTTTATCGTTTCTATTTATTTCAGCTTTTTGTTGAAAAAGAATGTACATAGAGGGTAGCTCGTAGCTGCTGTTGGGGTGAATTTTATCATTTCTGTTTTATCCAGATTTAACACTAATTGATTATTTTGAAACCATGTAAACATATGATTAAAAATAACATTAAATTATAGTAGTCTTTAGCTTTGCAAAGAATACTTGTGACATCTGCAAACATGTTAACTTCCGAAATTTTACTTATTGCAAGGGGGAAATCGTTTGTGTATATATTTAAAGAGTAAGGGTCTCAACACTGATCCCTGAGGCACACCACATCCAACAATTTTCCAGTTAGAATAATATTTGTTATTTATATAATTTAATTCCACGCTTTGCTTCCAATATTGGAGGTAAGATTTAAACCATTGCAATAACACACCCTGCACTCCATAGTACTGCTGTTTTATTAATAGAAGATTACGATTAATGCAGTCAAAGGCTTTGGCTATGTCACAAAATATACCAGTTACATACTCTTTTCTGTCCCAAGCTGTAAGTATTACATTGGTTAATTTAAACATTGCATCTTTGGTAGATAATCCCTTTGGAATCCATACTGCTCTGAAAGTAATATTGTATGTTTTATGATATGATCATTGAGTCTTCTAAAAATTGCTGTTTCAAAAACTTTTGTAAACCCAGTTACTATAAATATTGGCCTGTAGTTACTTATAACAGCCTTTTCTCCTTTTTTGGATACTGGCTTAATAATTGCATTTTTAATCTTTCTGGATATAGAACCATGGTTAATGACTTATTAATTACATAAGTTAGAGGTTTACTGATTTGCTGTCTGCACAGTTTTATAATTTTATTTGTTACACCATCATACCCTGAAGAGTTTTTTGATTTTAATTTGCTAATTATACTAATTATTTCCTCTTCTACAACTAAATTAAGATTCATATCTGGAATACCATTTGAGAAATGGGAGTGCAAGTATGACATTACAGTATAAACATTAGTTTTCTTAATATTAAGATTTGCTGATATTGATGTGAAATATTTATTATATGAAACAGGAATGCTGACCATTTACTTCCTATGTTGAGTTCAAATTCACTGTTATCCCTTTCCACTACAGTTAAGTTTTTAGTGAACCTTGGCTTGGTATGTTCTTAGGGTTGCTCCCTCATCCATTGATTCCATCAGAAGAACTGGATCAGCTGCTACAGTACCCAGTATTCATCAAGAAATGAATGGCAATGTGAATCCCCCTCCATCACCTCCAGATCCACTTGATGCTTGGAGTACACGCAACATTGCCAATATGAATGCATTATTGGAGTTGGGGAAAGATGAAGAAAGCTTGTAAATTGATATGAAATATAAGTTTAATTTCTGGTAGTGGAAACTGCCATGCACACATGGGAAACATTGGTATCAGCGTTGTCTTACCAGGCCCTCTTAGAGTGGGTGACCTAATATTCTGTCAAAGAGCTGATATTTTAATCATGACATGAACCAATCTCTGCTTAGAATCCATAATTTTAGCACATGCCATATGCATGCATGTTTTCATGTGACATGCAGACATATCATATTCACTTTCAAAGCAAGAACATCCTTTTTGAAGAAATCAACAATCTTTTCACAGCTAGTGAAATGTGCACCTTACTGCAGCAGTTTGGATATCAATGCAGTGTTATATCCTCTGCATATGTAAATAGTTATATTTTTCCTATGAAGCCCATTTCTATAATGTTACATATTTTTTTCTTGCTGTGGAATTCAATGAAACATGAAACCACTACTTACAGAATTCTATATTTTGCACAATATTTCCAGCCTTAATGCATTGTTGATTTGTTCTGTCGATAAAAAAGCAAAAAGTCAGAAAAATGAATTTCAGATATTATAAAATTATATTTACTGCAATTATCTGTGGTGTGAAAATATACTGATCCCTTGGCAATGCTTAATCTGATAAAATGATTCAAGATCACATATATTTGCTGACAAAAATAAGGTAAGAAAGAAATAGTATTTCACAGTTCCTAAAGTTAGTGATTTATGGTGTAATAAATAGCATTTTATAATCGATAAAATTTGTTATTGTTAATGATGAAGGCACATTGTGGCATGTGAAAGACTCATGCTGTAGGTTTGTTCATCACAAAACCTGTACTGCCTGAACAAGAATGTGTAAATATAAAGAAGAAGAGGGATCAGAGATGGGTGAGTATAGTTGAAAGGACAAATATATGCACAAAAACATGTTGCTGTAGTAATGCTCTATACTTCTGTTTGGGAAGTACAGGATCAAATATTGGCTAACTAAAAGCTTTTGTGCTTTACCTTAATTTCTCCATACAAATGCTGTTCCAGCCTTCATCTAGAGAGAAACGGAAGAGCCACAGAAATAGCTCCATTGGATAGTTAATAACATGGCAAAAATCTAAACCAGGTACCTCATGAATAAACATGTAGAGCATTATGACTACACCAACCTGCGCAGTAACATACTATTAATATGTGCAATGTTGAAGAACAGTATTTTCTGTTACTGAGCAACATGGTATGATAGGACTGATTTTGTGTATAAGATAAAAAAGGGTGAGTCAAATGAAAACCTTTATTTTTTTTACTGGTTAATTTACTGCAAATAAGTTTGGTAGAGTTTTGTCATTTCTCAACACAGCATTTGCTGCATTCAGCGCAAGTCCCCAAGTGCTTAATTAATGCTTGCATTTCTCGTGAAGAAAAAACAAATTATTTGGCTGAATGCATGGCCACTTTTATGATGATAAAAGACAAGTGATGGCTTCCTGAAGTGCAGAGTGGATGAAGAAGAAAGCTGGGTCAACTACTAGAGCTTGAAATGAAGAAGGCAAGTAAAGAATGGCAGCATNACAATCAAGGGGACCATACTCACCAGTGTCTCGTATTGCAGCCTCCTTAGGAACCATCCAAGACCAGCCATCAGATCAAAATTTTGTCTCCTGGTAAGTACTGATGTCTTATTGCTTCATGACAGTGCTAGACCATATACTGCCTGTGTGACAGCTGAGATGATCAGCAACGTTCATTTTTAGTGTCTCCCTCAACCAATGTACTCATCTGACTATGCACCTTGTGACTACTACATCTTTGAGCCATTCAAGGAGGCTTCTGGTGGAAAACTTTCCAATCCAATGAAGAAGTGCGAGAGGCAGTGCATGAGTGGCTTTGCATCAAACACAAAGGAGACTATGTTGAAAAATGACAAAGCTGTAGCAAACATATTTGTACTAAATTAGCTGGTAAAGAATTTTAATTTTTTCATTTGAGTTACGCACATCTTTTTGTCACAATCATTCTCTCCACCGTGATATCTGACAGAACCGACACCATTAGCTGATGGAAGTTCTCTTTGGAAAGAGTTGCAAATTTGTCTCCCCTCTCATTTCTGGAAGTATCTGTAAGTATTTTATACAAAATTAAAATGGAATTATTCTATACACATCTTGCAGAATAAATGTCCTCATAACAATTCTGGGTACACTTCCATTAGATATACAAGGTAATTAAGGTTACATAAAAGGTGACAAAATACTTCTGTGTCTGTCAATATGCAATATTATTGTATTATAAATGAATATCAACTTTATTGTTAAAATTATTACCATAGTAGGTAAAAGTATTAATTTGGGATTACATCATCTATATTATTATTTACAAACTAGTTTGTCAACAAGGCAAGATAAGATAGGGGGCTATCATTAACGTTTAACATCCGAAGTGCCCCGACTGGGCCAGTGATGAGTATGGTCATTGTGGCCAAAGTACTCTGTTTTGGCCAGTTGGGCATTTAAACTCTGCTAGTGGAAGCGCACGCACATGCCACTAGTAGAAGCACACACTAGTTCTAAATATTTATTTTTAAATGTAGTAATTACCAGACAGACTTGAGTAAAACCCTAATAGAGGAATTAAAATGATACCTAAGTGAACAACAACAAAAAAGGGCATACATATGAGTTATGCCCAAACTCATCTACAAGCCAGTACTTTTATTGCAGATTCTGCAGATTAATGTGTTAAAATATATAGTAAAATTTGATGTGCATGCTTTTTTTGTTATCTGTTTGATGTATATATATTGGCTGAAATGAAACTACAGGATTCAATTTCACTATGAACGCACAGAAAACAGATCACACTCTGTATTTCAGCCATGATGCAGCTGTCTGTTCATGACCATAGAAAGGGCAATAATCTCTTGCGGCTATAATGGAAGGTCTTAGCACTGAATAAGGGACCCCTCTTGCTTTCTTTTGAATAGCCATTCTTTCATTCTTCTGTCCTTTAGTCGAAAGCTTCGAAAATCCGAAGAGTGTAAGCAGTGATAGCGGAAGACCAAATAATTTTATTGTTTCCATCTGTTTTATGACACCAGGGACTGCTAAAATCTGTCAAGTGTTAGAAGCAGGACTGATTTTATAATGCAGAACTCTGTGAAGAACTGGGAAAACCATTTTTGCAGTATGCATCAAAATTAAAAGAAAAGGTTTTGCAAAAGACAAAGTAGGAACAGAAAATCAATGAATGAATTGCACTAGCTTGGTAATTTTTCACTCATTTAAATTTTGGCCAAAATTAAATTCTAGATGTAGTACTAAGAAGCCTGACAAATTAACTTGACATAACATAATTCTTTCATTCATAGGGAAAGTACATCAGTCAGCTGTGTGTTAGTTAATATTTAGCCGCATGTTAGAATTTCTAAACAAAATCATTGTTACTAGCTCTGAACACTGATTGGAATAATTCTACTAGTTATGACTCAGATAAATCATAAGAGTCTGCTTCTTTGAGACATACACATGAAAGGCAGAAACTGTAATATATTATGCATGATTTGAAACTGTCATGACAGCAGTCATCTCAAGCCATCAGCCATGTGAAAATGGAATTAGCATCCAGCATTCTGATGACTGTCTCTTTGTCCATGATCAGGAGTTTGTGTGATGATGGAGACAAAGACAGGCTCCAGAACGTTGGGTACTAATTCTGTCTTTAGTCAGCTGATTGTCCAAGTATTCTTTATGTAATATATTGAACAACTTTCTCTGAGTACTTAACTGGTAGCATTTATTCTTTTGAAACTTTTCTTATTCTAATTACTTGTGCAATGGTACTAATGCAAACTGTTACACAGATACAGTCGATATAAAACTCTTATATGCTGAAGATATAGCTTGAAAGCAAATATCCCAGACAAATTATTTGTCCTATGCAAAAAGTCATTTTTAAAACTCTTCATTCTAATTTTACATATATCAGGAAAGTTACTGTAATAAGAAGTGCTTAATTGAAAACAAATTTATCAAGGTTGCCTTGTCTTTTCTTTTACTACTTTAGAAATACTTGCATTCCAGACTTTTGAAGGGAACAAATCTGGATAGTAGTTTGTTTGGAATATTTAATAAGATTCAATATGAACAGGTCATTTATTGCATGAAATAAAAGTAAAACAATTCAAAATAGAAGAGTTCTATCTTCTGGGATATAACACCATGTAGTTCAGTGAAAGTCGACTAATATTTCGGAAGATCCTTCATCTTCATGGGTGATTGTTGGCTGCTTTATGCCGTTTNTCTTTTTGGGGGGGGGGTATTATTTATTTATTTATTCTTCAACCCTGAAGATGACGGTGATGTGTTCTTCTGAAATGTCTGTTAACTCTTACAGAACTACATGACATTATATCCCAAAAGACAGATCTCTTCATAACTACTGCTGTGAGAGCCTCAGATCCTTCAAATTCAGGATAGGATTCAAAGTCTGGCAATTGTATCATAACCTCAAAATATGCAGTCATTCTTGTTCCGTAGTTTTCAAGCCCTAAGAAGACTTTATTCTAAATAGTGGGACTTTCAAAATAGCAATGTTCATCTGAGATCATCACCCAAGTTTTCTTGAAGTGTGATTTTCAAAACTGTTTCCAAGGTCTACAGAAATAATTAGGATATTTAATATCATGGATTTGAGGTTTTCACAGTGATGACTATGAAGAATGCTGTCTTCTGGAATGTGATGCCGTGTATATCTACATTGCACCACATCCCAGAAGACGGCATTCTTCAAATATCGTGGAGTTTAATATTTATTTTTATTTTCTACAGTCATGTTTCTAGCTGTAATTAGCAACATGAATTAGTGAAGTTTTATAAGATTCAAACTGTAATTATCCAAGCCACAGTCATCATGAGAAGCCTTCTTGTGACACTAGAACAGCATACAATACCAATGATAACCAAAGTAAATCGAGTACCTTGAGTCCACTTAATATATTTATATTAATATCTATAAAAATTATGATGTGTACACTAAATAAACTTTATACTACTCAGAAAACAGTGAATAACAGCTATTCTTCTTACATGTTGATAACCAAATAGCATGTGAACTGGATTTATGATCACTCTGTCCTTTTATTAAGCTCATTTAAGGTGAGAATAGGACCCATGATAGCTCAATCAGTATAGGCTGGCTGGATGGCCAGGGTTCAATTCCCAGCAGGAGCAAGTTGTTATTCTCTACGCCACACGCCCACTGTCTCTTATCTAATGGGTACTGGGGGGCTCTTTCCCAGGGAGTAAAGCAGCCAGGTTGTGAAGCTGACCACTTAGCTCCATCCAGTGCCAAGGTCAAAAATGGTGGAGCTATACCTCCATAAGTCTTCATGGAGTGGTGCTTAATTAAGCACAGGGACAAATTTGCCGTTACCTTTCTATGGTGAGAATATGTTCATTCCAGGGTAAATAGCTTCACTGCTGTATGTGTATCTGAAGATCCCCTCCCTTAAAAAATGAGCTATGTTGAAAGGACTACAATATTAATGTAAATATATAGGTGATATTAAACAGAAGCAATGTGTTCCAGTTAATTTATTTTGGTTTACTTAATAAATTTCAACAACTCAGATTATACAGTATCAAATTAAAGGAATAATGAATTGACAGAGATGTGGAAGGAAGTTGTGATGGTCCAATTGGACGTTCTATCATTGAATTTGCCTGGAGGGACTGAGAAAATCCATGACAAACCTTACAACATGTGGTCT